TTAAAAATCTGATGAAAGCTATGGGTCCACTCTCCAGAAAACTACATATATAATTACAAAATTTTGTGTAGATTTTTAGGATGTTTCTATATTTTCCTGAAACCTTTTTACAGGTCTCAGAGAAGAACCTCTGTCTTAGGATAAATGATCTTAAATCTAGAGTATGGCAAGAATACAAAATAATGAGGAGCTGAGGGGGGCTGCGAGGGGAATAGAGAGTACCAGGGGAGCGTAAAAGATAGTGCATAGGTTCAAGGATTAGGGCTGAGTTGGAGTGAAGGGATATTTAGAATTGAGAAGCCATCCCACTGATTCATCATTCCAGACTCCTTCCTTTTCTCTTGCTCTAGATGACCAAAATGTTAGACTTACTAGAGGACTTCTTAGACTATGAAGGCTACAAATATGAGCGCATTGATGGTGGCATCACTGGTGCCTTGAGGCAGGAGGCAATCGATCGGTTTAATGGTGAGGGGGAGATGCCTTGGTTTCTCCTGGGTGTGGGAGGACCAAGGAACCTGTGTTAGGTGCCTGGTATAGGAGGGGGTCTGGCAGGGGTAGATATGGGACACCTAGGCTTTGAGCTGGGTCCATGGTTGTTCGTAGTTAAGGGAACATCAGGAGCAGATGGCAGAACTACTGTGTATAAGAAAAACCTGATGTCCTAACTCTCACTTCCTAGCTCCTGGGGCCCAACAATTCTGTTTCCTTCTTTCTACCCGAGCTGGGGGCTTGGGCATCAATCTGGCCACTGCGGACACTGTCATCATCTTTGATTCTGACTGGAACCCCCATAATGACATCCAGGTGGGAACTTACATTCTGGAACCTCTGCATCACTTAGTAAGGAGAAGGGTGTTGTTTCTGGGGTCAAAAATACACCTTTTCAGAGGGAGAAGACAACCCTTTTTTGTCAGCCTTCTTTCCTGAGCATGTGGACAGCTTCTCCCCTGCCACTGCCCTGGCTCACCCCGAATTTCTCCTACCGTTGCAGGCCTTCAGCCGGGCTCATCGGATCGGCCAGGCCAACAAAGTGATGATTTACCGGTTTGTGACTCGAGCATCAGTAGAAGAGCGAATAACACAAGTGGCCAAGAGAAAGATGATGCTGACACACCTGGTGGTGCGGCCAGGGCTGGGCTCCAAGGCAGGCTCAATGTCCAAGCAGGAGCTTGATGACATCCTCAAATTTGGCACTGAGGAGCTGTTTAAGGATGAAAATGAGGGTGAGAACCTTTTTTGCAGTTCCCTGAGAGCAGGCCCTTGCACTTTCATGAACACTTCTCTTTTTAGCCCCCTGGGGTTCTTCTCTGCAGCCCTTGAAGGAAGAAGAGCCTTCTTTTCAAAAGTCCTTGGAGGAAAGTTGGCCTCTTTCCTTGTCTGCAGGGTTAAAACTAAAAAAAAAAACTTCAGTATTGGCTCCCACAGAAAGCCTTCTCCAGGGCTCCCCTGACAAGGAAGTGGAGAAGAGGCTTTCTTCCAGCATTTCTAAAGTTGTGCTTAAGGTTGGAACCCAAAGTTCCCTTTTGTTCCCCATCTCACCAGGGGACAACAAGGAGGAGGACAGCAGTGTGATTCACTATGACAATGAGGCCATCGCTCGGCTGTTGGACCGGAATCAGGATGCAACTGAGGACACTGATGTGCAGAACATGAACGAGTATCTCAGCTCCTTCAAGGTGGCACAGTATGTTGTGCGGGAAGAAGATAAGGTGAGAGGCTTTGGGGCCAGACATAGTCTATCCCAGGCTATCCGTGAAGGGCAGTGTGATTTAGTTGGCTTTGAAATAGGAGATTCCTCTTCATTCTTACTGTTTATTTTTTTCTTACCCTAATACCCAGCAAAGAGTAGTAGTGGACCTCAGATGACTTCTTCATGTAACAGAGAGACTTAGGCACAGGAAGTACTGGTAAACACACAAGGATACTTTCTGGGTCAGCAGAGGAGAAATACAGAAGGGATTAGAAGAAAGATTTAGAGAAGAGTACAAGAACAAGGCAGAGAAGCATATTGCATGTAGGAGATACAGAAAACGTGCATTTGCATGTAAGAGACATGGAAAATGTGCAATGTCCAGAAAATTTGCTTAGAGTTAAGGTCTAGGAGCAGTGAGACTGGATTCAGCTGAGATAGGAGATTAGGAATTTTGTTGTGGTGGAATGACTGGTAAAGAAGGAGACTGCCTACCATTCATTCTGCTGCCCTTTAGATTGAGGAAATTGAGCGAGAGATTATCAAGCAGGAGGAGAATGTGGATCCTGACTACTGGGAGAAGCTTCTGAGGCATCACTATGAGCAACAGCAGGAAGATCTAGCCCGGAATCTAGGCAAAGGCAAGCGGGTTCGCAAGCAAGTTAACTACAATGATGCTGCTCAGGAAGATCAAGGTGAGGCTTGCCCTAGATGCAGGAACTGAAAAGGGAAGAAGTAATGATGTTTGAAGGCTGGGGCTTATTTTGAGGAAAAGAGAGGCCTAGAAGTCAGAGCCTTGCCCTGCTAAAAGAGAGAGCTCAGGTCATTAAGAAGTACCTGGAGACCAGGTGGGTTTACAGGCAATTTAAACTGTGTGGTGGTTGTAAAGGGATCCTATGGACCCCCTGGGATCATTGTTTAGAGAAGGGTTGTCAAAAGTAAGGGTGGCAGAACAAATAAGTGCTTGAAGACTGAAGGTGAGTGATGGTAGAGATGGTCCAGGATATAAGGCTCAGACTCTGGGCAGTGATTCAGCAACCACAGAAAGGCCAAGGCTACGTGAAAGTAGACAAGTCTCCCAGGGAGGAATTCAGGCAGGAAGAGTCCCAGCATGAGCATATCCTGGGAGTCTTCACTGACCACTGAGCTCTCTACCCTTACAGACAACCAGTCAGAATACTCAGTAGGATCAGAGGAGGAGGATGAAGACTTCGATGAACGTCCTGAAGGTGACATCGGTTCTCCTGACTCTACCGCAGCTCTTCTCATTTCATTTTCCAGTTTACTTTAAGCCCACTGGTTTTGTTGTTGTTGTTGTAGTTTGTTTGTTTTAGAAATAGAGTCTTGCTCTCTTGCACAGCCTGGTCCTCAAACTTTTTAAACAGGGGGCCGGTTCACTGTCCCTCAGACCATTGGAGGGCCAGACTGTGGGCCCCAGGATAAGTCGGTTGCTCAGCAGGACAGGCAGTGGCAGCAAAACACCCAGAGGGCTAGATAAATGTCCTAGGCGGGCTGCATGTGGCCTGCGGGCTACAGATGGAGGATGCCTGGCCTACAGTGCCATGGTGTCATAGCTCATAGCAACCTCAAACTCCTGGGTTCAATTAATCCTCCTGCCTCTACATCCTGAGCAACTGGGACTAGGGACTACAGGTGCCCACCACAGTGCCTGGCTAATTTTTCTATTTTTAGAAGAGACTAGGTCTTGTTCTTGCTAAGGCTGGTCTTGAATTCCTGAGCTCAAGCAATCTACCTGCCTCAGCCTTCCAGAGTCCTAGGATTATAGGCGTGGGCTACTGCACCTGGCAAGCTCACTGTTTCTATACAAATAAAATAATGTGTTTTTGTGGAAAAGCCAAAGATTGCAGATAAACAGAAAGGAAGAAATGTTCATAATGTCTTTACTATTAAAATTTAGAATGTATAAACCACACTGGCTTCAGTGTTTAGGTCAAGAAAGGTTACATCGGGTGGTACCTGTGGCTCAAACGAGTAAGGTGCCAGCCCCATATGCCAGAGATGGCGTGTTCAAACCCAGCCCCGGCCAAAAACTGCAAAAAAAAAAAAAAAGGTTACATCATTCTGCATGCTCACTGGTAGATAATCTTGTCTGTGTAAAATACAGACATTTTTGGGGCTTGTTATTCATTTTTAAATATAACTTGATTTTTTTTTTTTTTTTTTTTTTTT